TTTTCTTTTGTAAACCAGGATTGTAATCAATGGGGTCTCAGGGGGAGGGCGAGCGTGGCAGCGAGTGACGACCGAGGGGGTCTGGAGCAAAGGCAAAGCCCGGCTGGGATTGTGTCTTTGATCACGAGAGCGGTGGGAGGGGGGCCGGAGGGCAGGACCCCTGGCCCTGACACGCTGGGGACACTTCGTTGGTTACAGTTTACACTCATACACTTGATGTTCAAGTGCGAGAATTCCTATGCAATCGTGTCGGGTGGTTTTTTTTACTTTTCTAATAAAACTTGTCTTGATTGATAACCCGCCGTCTCCCTGTTGTCACCTCTGCTCGGGGCGGGAGGGGCGGAGGGATGATGCAACCACTGGTCTGAAATTCTCTGCTGGCACCCTCGGGATGCCTTTCCCTGGCAGGACAGCCCCTGCGGTGGGAGCTGGATGTTTTGGGGATGGCGGGGAATCCCGCTGCGCCCACTCCTAATGGGAGTCATACACGGGGCTGTGACTCAGGGGGGCTGAGTCAGGTCCCTGAGCCAGCCCTGGGCTTATTTGTGCCCAGCCAGGAGCACCCCAACACCCAGCGAGGGGATGCTGCTCCTTCCCTGGCAGCCACGGCAGGGAATTTGGGCAGAAACCCAGCAGAACGGGCTCTAAAACCGAGGAGGAGGAGGGTCACACCTGCCGGGGGGGAGCACACCCCAGCTCCAAACACACTCGGCAACACCGAGGCCAATTACCCAAACCTGCAATTAGAGGCCTCGGGGAAGAGGCTTTCACTCAAGGATAATTAAGCTGCTTGGCAAACGAGAAGCCTATGGAAGGTGTGGGGAGATAAAACCAGCCTGAAAAGCCATTTCCATTCACATGTAAGCTTGTTCTGGCTCAGCCTTGGGTTAGTTGATTTTTATTTTTTTTTTTAATACCCTTGTGGACAAACTATATCATTATGGACAGACAAAGACAGACTTTGATGGGAAGTTTCACCATGAAAACTTTGCTTTTGACACGAATGACCCATAACTGGAGTGGTGGGAGCAGAGATTGCTCATTGGTGTAAATATCTCCTAGGAGTAGTCAGGGCAACAGTGCTGGAAATGCACCTTTACACACGTCCTTTACCTTTACGTCCTGCAAAGAGAGGGAATTTTCCCTAAAATTTTGGGGTCTGGAGCATTTCTCAAAGGACCACATGCTAGAGCATCCCCCCTTCACGTGAGGGGCATCCCTTGTGGGGTCATCCAGCCCAAACCCACCCCCTGAGACACTGAGAGGGGTGGAAAGGGAACTCCAAAACCCACATTTCTTGGCCAGGGTGGCAGTGCTGCTACCACCAGCTCAGCTGGGGCTGTGCTGCCAGACCTGCTGAGGCATCCTGAGTCTGGCAGTGGTATTTATAGCTCAAGAAATATGTGGATTTTTAAATACTGAGCTCCCAAGGGGGTGGCCCTGCTCCTGTGACCCCTGTTTGTCCCCCACCAGCCACTCTCAGAGAAGCCGAGGGGCTCCCCATCCCATTTTTTTAAAATTGTCACACCAAGAAAGCAAAAAGAAAACCCCACCGAACATTCCCAAAAGCCAAGCAGAGCGATGGCACAGCCTCTGTCCTGGGGGTGCCCAGCAAAACCTTCCACGTGGGACCACGTGCCCCTGGAACAGCCCCAGCTATGAAGATGAAACTTTGCTTTTATTTATAGCAAAATGTCCTTTCCATGAGAAATTTTGGGGAGTCTCAAGGTCCCGGGGGTTTGGCAGCTCCCTGGAAGGTGCAGAAGTTTCAGCGAGGCTGGATCAAATGTCTCCCAGGACAGGGGGTTAGGCAAAGGGATATTTTGGGACGTGGGAAGAGCCAGTGGGGCTATTTGTGGCACCAGCATCAGCCCAGGGATCCCAGGTGCCAGCAGAGGAAAGAGAGATTTTTGGGGGCATCAGCAGCAATAAGGCAAATGAGGATTAAAATCCCAGGATAACACTAAACCCTCCTGTTTTTGCTACCAAAAATGATGGGGGGAAGAGGGGTCCCCTTGGCTCCTCACCTGCCAGAGGAGGATGTTCCTGGAGCACCTGCCTTCCTTTGATCCCTCCCTGCCTTTGGCAGCCGCTCCAATTAAAAGCTTGGGCTAATGAGCTAATGGGCAGCTCAAACCTCCCACACCTTTGGTGAGTGGGCAGGGACCAGCACACCCTGAAATTCAAGACTGTCTCCCATTGCTCCAGGCTGGGAATGACCCGAAATGCAGCAAAGCCACCCCAAAACCTGGGCTGTGGATGTGCTGGCAGAGCTGACTCACTGCCAGAGGGGAAATGGCAGGGACGTGACCCTTGGCCTCTGAGAGGAGGAAAAAAAGGGAAAGGGCAGAAATTCCCACTCTTGCCCTCTGAGAAAAGGGGAAAAAAGGGGGGAATTCCCACCCAAAGCTTCCAGCACTTCGGTGCATGGGCCTGAGGAGGAAGAGGGAGGTGCCAGAGGGGTCCAGCCTGCCCCGGCCTCGTCCTGCTCCAGGGAGGGGGATGTGAGGAAAGGAGACCCATCCCAAATCCATCCCCGAGGCTTTGAGGCCAGCAGCCAAGCTGCTGCCAGCAGGAAGTGCTCCCAAGGCACTGCCTCTGCCTGGAACAAAGGCAGCCCCAGCCTTGCTGCCCACCTGATGGGCATCCTGTACAAAGGGCAGCTGCCACTGCCAGGATAATGCTGCCAGGCCGGTGGCATCCTAGGATGAGAATAAGGCATCTCCAAAAGAGCTCAGAGGATGTGGGGCTAATGGGATGGGAGGAAGAACTGGGAAATCCCAGGGGAAGGGGTCTGAAGCAAAAGAGTCCTGCTGGGTGTTTGCTGTCACCTTGCCAGGACTCACAGGGGCACCACGTCCTCTCCATCCTCTCCCTGTCCCTCCTCTGCCACCTCAGGGCAGCCCCTGCAGGGCCAGAGCTCTCAGCCACTGGGATGGCAAACACCCCAAATTCCACCCACTGCCGAGGAGCTGCAAACCCAGAGCTGGCTGGAGCAGGGATCCACAGGACACCAACCCAGCTGGAGCCTTTCACGTTATAAACATTTATTTATAGATGTACAATTGTAGAATTAACTCTAAATCGAGAGATACAGCCTCTGTGAGCATCCACTGGGAACCATTCTCCCTCCTTATGATCCGTGGGTATTACCAGGAAAAATAACCCAAAGGCTTTGGCGGGCAGGGAATGCCATTGGGCAACACATCCAGCTCCTTCTGGGAGCAGGATTTTGGTTTAACCCCGTCCCCATCATCCCTATGCCTCTATCGAGCTCCATTTCCAATCCTCAACTTCCACCCCATTTCTTCAGAAGGTGGAGGAACCATTAAAAAAAAAAAAAAAAAAGATAAAACCCCTTAAAATCAGGTCCAAGCCATGGTGGCTGTGGGATAACAGGGCTTGCAGCCAACAGGAGGCTGGGATTTCACAAAATAAATAAACAGCCAAGACAGAGCGGACGGATTCCTAAGGACAACGGGATGAAACCACTTCTGCCAGCCCACCCGGGAGCTGCTGTGCTCCCACTTCACCCCCCTGACCATGCCAGGGGATGATTTTCACTGGAAATGTCTTTAGACACAAATGAGCTGCAGAGCAGCAAAAAAGAAAAAAAGAAAAAAAAAGAAAAAAATCCAGTTTATTCCACGGGAGGTGGCTCTGCTCATGCTGGATTTGCTTCCAAGAGATGGCTCCTCACCTGGAGCAGCCTCACACCAGTCCTGCCTGTGGTGAGGGAGGGCAGAGGGCAGATCAGACAGCCCCTGATCTCCCCCAGCAGAATGCTTTGTTCCTCGTGGATTTGTGGCATTTTCCAGGTGTCCTCCAGGAAACACGAGGCAGGGTGTGAAGGCCAGGACCAGGCTGCACCTGGTGGATGGCTGAGGACCCCGAGTGTGGGACACACACAAAACCTCCCAACAAAGGGCCAGGCTGATGGAAAGCCCTGATTACCAGGCAGAATTCCAGCAGACTCGGCAGAAAAAGGAGTTACGTGCACAAATTCAAACCAAAGACTGACGAGCAAAATCCATCCAGGACAATCCTTCCCATCCCGAGCGCTTCTGCTGACCCCACGGCTTCTGCCAACGCTGCAAATCCATGCCACAGCCTCCCCTTGTTCTCTGGGACCCCCTGCACGTTTGGGATTTGGTTTTATCAAAACCCCAAGAGCAGGTGTATGGACGTCCCCGTCTGCAGAACGTCCTCCCTGTGAGCAAAGCACAGCAACTGCAAAGGGATTCTTGTTTTCCAGGCAGGAAAGAGACACCCTGGGAAGAGGCTTCCTGCTGCCCTGCTCCCCAAAATGGGCAGAAACCAAAATAATTTAATCATCCAACCCCTGCATAGTTTAAAAGTATAACATATATACAGCTATAAATTAATGCTAAATAGATTATATTTTCTTTTCTTTCTCTTTAGTGTCTTCTTTTATAAACAAATTGTCCCACTTCTCTCTCCATTGGCAGCAGTGAAGGGTCTCCTTCTGCTTCACGGCTTCTACAGTTAGTTTGGGTTATTTTACACTCTGGGTGTCTGTTCCAGAGGCTGTGGGATCCTTATGGGATCCTGGAAGTGGGGGGAGGAAGACTGAGAGCTGGATTTCCTGTCCCAAGCACTGCCTGCAGTCTTCAGAGAGGGGTAGAGAGAAGAAAGAGGGGCAGTTGTGCGTTGCTAATTCTCCAATTCCATTTTTGAGATAAGGTTTGATTCTTTTTAAATAGCAAAGTCTGTCACCTCGGCTCAGTGCACTTTCCCAAAAGTCTTCAGGCATTTTGACGCTCTGGGAACAAAAGCGGCAGCGGTGTCAGCCTCCGGACAATCGGTGACTCCCCTTTCCTTCCCCACCCCACAGCACAGGCAGCAGCTTTTCCAGGCTCTTTCCAGACCGCGGGTGCAGGGAAGGAATTAAAGAAAAGCAGGTAATTAACACCAGAAGAGGCGTAGTCATCCAAATGAGAGAGTGGGCTGATCAAGATAAGAACGGATCCAAAACCAAAAAAAATAAATACTCGGAGGATTCGCTTTAAAGACCAAACTTTCAGATTGCCCAAAACTGCAAATCAAGCAGCTCAATCCTCAAGGAGTCCCTGTGAGCTGGAACGGTGTCCACACAACACCTGGGACAAACTTCATCCAGGGGTTTTTCCACAGAAATCCTGTGCTCAGATAATTTTTGAGTAGTGGGATCTGCACATTTCACAGCCAGCCCAGCAGTAGCTGATAGGCGAAATCAGCCCAAAAATTTATGCAGAAAAAGGACTCTAAACCCTGTGGCAATTTTTTTTCATTCTTTTGATGCAGTTCTCCCAGCACATCCGGTCTCACAAGCGTTATCCAGGCTCTCCAACCCCCAAATCTTCCAGACCACCCCCCACCAGCTGCTTTTACTTTGACTGCCAGTTTAACCCAGTAAGTTACTTCTACAACCTGCTGGGAACATTTGCTTTGTTCTCCTTGAATGGGAAGGCCAGGGGAGGGGGGACAAGGAACATCTGTTGGGTGGGACTCCATTCCCTGTCACCGTGTCGCTTCACGTGCCAGGGAAAACGGCTTCCCCAGTAAAACAGGCAACAAAGCAACCAAAAACCAAGGGTTCATTAAAATGTAGGGCCTGTAAAAAACTTCCAACCCCAGCAAGGGATTCTGCCCTGTTCCTAGAGGCCAGAGAAAACAGGGAGCCTGGAGAGAGCCGAGGGTGCCGACATGCAAACGAAACCAAATCAATTCCTGATTAACGAGGGAGCGCTCGTCGGAGGGGAGGCCAGCACGTGTGCACCCCGAGGAGACTCCTGGAGGGCTGTGTCTCAATCAGGGATCTCAGTGATCAAAGCACTATGGGTTCCCTGCTCGTACTTGGGCTGGGACTATCAGTGCAGGGAGGCCTGGACGTCTGACAGTCTGCTACAGCTGGGGGTGCCCATCTTCTGCGCCCGCTGGTACAGATCCGTGTCCCCGAAGTAGCGTGCCCGGTACAACAAGCCTTCCTCTGCAAAGGGAAAAGCCCAACGTCAGGAATGCCCTCTGGAAAAAGACTCCCCCGGGGCCAGGCCCTGCTGGGAACAGGAGGCACCTCCAGCTGCCCAATGTGAAGCAAAGGAGGAGGAAATGCCCCCCGCCCTTCAGACAGGATGGGCGTAAGAGCTGCTGACAGCTCATCCATCCCGGGAAAAGCCAAGGGAACCCGTCTCCGGTCCCACGAGGTGCATGGGCAGCCCACACAAAGGCTACCCCAGCAGGGCACTGCCCAGGGATCACAGCCCCTCCAGCATTCCAATGCTGAAATCCTACCCCATAGCCGTGACCATCACAGCAGCCAGAGCACACGGGTTGCCCCTGGACTCGCTGCCCCCACCACCCTCTGCTGCCAGGATGTCTGGCTGGATCATCTGCCAGGGCAGCCCCCACAGCCCTGGGAGCAGGGGTGGGATGTGGGACGCATGATACCAAGGGCAGCAGACTTGGCAACACCGTCCCAGACCAACTGAAATATTACACAGAGATCCCAGAGGTTCTATGCTCCCCCTGCACTGGAAATCAGAGGTATCCTGCTGACATGGCAGGGGAATCTCTGGGGCACAGCTCTCGTCTGACCAGTTCTGCAGCAGCATTAAAAAGCAAAACAAAACAAAAAAACCTCCACATACTGGGCCTGTCATGAAGTCATAGACTGAAAAAAACAAAGCCAACAACACAGGAAATGCGCTGGCACCGTGTTAAAGTGTAACTTTAGCACGACTTAGTCCTCAGTCAAAGAGCTTTTCAAAGCCACCCCATGGAGCAGCTCATGACCCCTCAGTACTCACTCTGCTGCTTCTCTCTCCAGCAGTTATTCCGAAGGTTTGCTATGTAGTCGTCCTCCACGCTCCGCTCAACGTTCTTCAGGTTCGTGCCCGTGTATTCCTCGGCAAAGCTCTCGGACACGTAGTAGGGGACTTTCAAGTGCTCTGTGACCCTCCTGTGTGTGTGACCCACAGACCTGGTGCAGGGACAAGAGCACATCAGTGTAGGACACGTCTGAAGGGCACAGCAAAGCCCCCAGCTCAGGTGATGTGATTCCAAATCCCTCACCCCTAACCAGCCACTGGCTTGGAGGGTTGGAAGGGAGCAGCATTTCACCAGCACAGGGAGAAAGAAGCTGCCAGGACTCCAGCAAGGTGGGCAGAACTCTGAATAAAGACATAACTCCAAAACACATTGCCCAGGGCCTAAACCCATTTAAAATAAAATGTTTCCTGGACTTTTCATTAAATTATTAAATCTGTGATTTCTTCCGTTCACAAAACGGGACCCGCTCCATGCCCTGGCCTGCATTAACCAGCACAGAAAGCACTTTCCAGAAGGAAATCTCTTCCTCCCCTGGCCCTGTGGATTTGCATTTCAGACAAAGCCCTGCTCTTGCTTCCCCTGACACCCCAGCAAACGTAGAGATCCTCCCTAGAGTGTGTGTGTGAGCTGTAACACAGGAGCTGGGCCCAAATGCTGGATTTGCCAGGAACAGCTCGACCTGGACACATGCCCAAAGCTCCCCATAATAAATACCAGCTGCTGCTGCATTGAAAGCCAGCCTGATTCTTAAGCCAGGTATAAACATTAACTCATCCAGCTCACCCTTCAGTCTGTTATCAGAGTTTACACGTGAGATCCCAAGACTCCTGCACATTTCACCAAGGCCCAGTGCTGGGAACAGAATGGACTGAACAGGAGCACAGAGCTCTGCTGGGATTTCTCAAGGCAGAAGTGCAGCCTGGAAAAAGCCAAGCTCACTATTTTCCCTGTCAAGACAGAGCCCTAAGCTCTCCCAAATCTTCACTTGGATAAAGATGACTGCAGAGTATGGCCTCACAGGAGGAGGACTGGGAATGGCAGGGCTGCAGCAGCACACTGGGGTGTGAGGCACGAAAATCAGGGCACACGAAACCTGTCACCTGCAGTCAGACATGCAATTATGTCAGGCCAATTCCATGAGGTGTTACTGAACAGTAACAGCCAGACAGACAGCTCTTCCAGCAGGAAGATCCCTTTTGGAAGAGATTTACAAAGGTAACAGTGGTTCTTTAGGACTCTGCCCTCCCCAGTGACAGCTTCACTATGGAGATGTGGCATTTAAACCTCCTGGTTCAAAGCTTCTGTTGCCCTGCTGGCTGAGCTCAGGCACAGCCTTCCCTTCACTGCCGGCAGAGGAGCTGGCACTCGGTGATCCAGCAGCTCCTCCTGCCGGTACCGCACCGCCTCACTCCAGCTCCAACACCCTGGCTGCTCGGGAAGCCTGTGGAAGGACTGCATGAGCTCATTTGCCACCCTTGTGCAAATCCAGGCTTGGAAATCGGGTTGCTTGCTGCTACCTGAGCATGCAGAGACAGGGACAGCACAGGTAACAGGGAATGGGGCAGCAGAGGAACATCTGGGGCTCAGGGATGGCTTCCTCTGGCAGCCTTCCAAGGCTGGAAGCAAATCCCTGCTCACTTAAATGCTGCCCTCCCTTCAATGTCTTCTCACCCCACACACTCGTCGCCAGTACAAACCAAACTGGTGTATGTGTAAAATGCTTGGTTTTACAATGCTAATACCAGCTGTGGAAATCACAGCTCAACACCCTTCACTCTCTCAGAAAAACCTCATCTTTTGGTCCCAAGCACCAATGTCACAGTCTTTACTCTGAATCTGAAAGCTAAGCTGGGTTTTATAGCATTTAACATCAAGCCCCTCCCCTGGGATTGTTCAAGGCCAGGTTAGATGAGGCTTGGAGCAACCTGGTCTAGTGGGACGTATCCATGGCCATGGCAGGGGGGTGGAACAAGATAATTTTAAGGTCTCTTCCAATCCAAAGCCTTCTGGGATTCTATGATAAAGGGCAAACATTGCTACCTGTGAAAACAGGCAGGAACCTCAGGCTGCCCTCTCTAAGTGCACATAAGGAACTCACACTGAACATGTATTAGGCTTTTGCCAAGAATGATGCAAGCGGACAGAAATCAAGCCTGTTTTCCCACTCTTTGTTAGCTCTGCAAAGTGACTAAGAATAAGGACACATTCCATTAGTCACCAGAGGGAGCAGATCAGGGCATTTCCACAGGATCTAGAACAGAGCAGTTCCACTTTCGCATCCTCAATGCCTGGCCAAAGCTATTTCCTGGCAAGATGAGAGCTCAGAATCAGGGGATTTCTCTGGGAGTGTCTTTTATTCCTTATCATCTTCCTCTACTGCATTGTACTACGGCTTTCATGGAGAACATGGCTTTTGTTTTTCACACTCGAACTCTACACCTCAGTTTGTTCCATACGGGATTTTGGTGCTGGCCCACAGCCTCCCCAAACCATTTTGTCTGTCCCTTCCCATGACAGACACAGCTGTGAGTATGGACTGCAGAAGGTCCCTGACCACGAGTGAGCACCCTCCAACTTTCCCCGCATCTTGGATCTCACACCTGCTTGGGAACCACGAAGACTTCACTAGCAGCAGGAACAACGGGGTCAGGAGATAAAGCAGAAAAGACAAAGAAAGCCAGGAAGAAGGAAGGCAAGATCCCTGTCCCACCACAGCCCCCCCGAGCCCACCCCCTCCCCATGTAGGTTGGTTTTAGAGGAATGGGTACTAACAGCCTGGGGCTCAAACTGTAGGGTGGGCTGGACACCATCATCTGGCTGAGAGCAGACACGATGATCAGGATGAGGATGGGCATCAGCTGGACAAACAGCCCCAGGCCACCCTGAGGGAACAGAAACACACAGTGGAGTGCCACCCATACAGCTGGACAGGGATCCCATGGCATCCCTCTCCCTCTCTCCCAGTGCTCTAACACAACCTCCTCTCTCCTGCTTTTCACAGGGAGTAACCCAAAATAGCTGGGGGGAGCCCAGCAGCCCACAGGACAGTGTGACTCTGAAGGTCCAACCCCCCTGGCCCTTCTCAGGATGTGACAACAGGCAGAGGAGACTGCCAGGGGGAGCCTTGGGAGGGAATTCCAAAAGCCTCATGCCCACAGTTTGTTTTTCTAGAGCCAGCTAGTGAGCAGGACTGTTTTTATGGATGGCCTTTTCCCCTTTTCAGTGCTAGATGGATGAAGGCAATTCCCCCTCTCCCTCACCTCCTGAGCTCCCTTCAGTTCCACCTTAAAGCTTGAGAAAAAAATACTCAGGAAGCTCTTGTTTGCTTTTTTACAATAAAATTGGTTCTGCCCAGACAACAGCTCTAACTCTGACTCCAGCTTTCTGTCTGAGGGGGTGGCAACAAGCAGGACTGTTTCACAAGCCAGCCACAGGAACCAGCTCCCAGTGATGTGCTGGGAGAACCTCCAGCCTCCCAGATCCCAGTGTATTTCTCACTTACGTCCCCCTGGTGCTCCCGCCTGTCCTGCCTCTGGTGGTAGGTGTATCTCATCCTGCCATTGCTGTACACGTGAACATTACCTGAAGGGGAAAAAAAAAAAGGAAGGAAATTCTTACACCAAAGTTACAGTGGGGAAGGTGCTGCTGGCCGGCCAGGGAGGGACCACAAAAGGTGGCCATGATCCATGTCACCAGCTGAAACAGGAGTATTCCTAAGGTGGTTTGAGTGCAGAGTGGGCACAGAGATTACAATGCTTTAGGATTTTGCACGATCATACGAAAACTCAGCCTGGAAGTGACCTCAGGAGGTTTCAACCTCCTGCCCAAAGCAGGGCCAGCTACAGAGAGGGAACACCTTGCACAGAGCTTCTCCCTTCTGATGGACTAGATGAAAAACAGTTACAAACAGAATTCTGATGTCTTTCCCACCCTGCAAACAAAGCTCTTCCAGGTCTTGTTTTAAACGTCAAAGCTACAGCTGCAAAGGGATCTGGGCTGAGAGAGCAGCCCTCAGTTCTCTTGGGACTGGAGGAAAGGGAAAAAGAGACTGAGCGAAAATAGCAACATGCTGCCTTTGCAGGAGTAGCTTGGCCTCTCTGCCAGGCAGAGCACAAATGCTGCAAAAGGCTTCCAGATGCCTTTGAGTCACTGGTGTTGGGGTGCTAGTGCTTAGACTGCAGACAGGAAAGAGCTACCAGAGTGAAATTTCTTAACTGAAACCAAATTTTTTTTTCCAAGTTGGTCCACAGAGGTCAAAAAGCCCTGTTCCCATTTCCAGTCAGATATGACTGGAACAAATGCAAAGGAATCTTCCAAAATACCCTTCTCCTGACATGGAATCTGTCCTTGGAGCAAATAAAGGAACAGATTCTTTCCTGCTCCCCAGGCCATGATCAGCACTCTGGACAGACAGGATTTATCTTTCAATTCAAAAGGTCTAAATTATGCTGTAGAAATGTTATTTTCCTTTTTTATCATGGGACACAGGGGAGAGAAGGAAGCGGCCACTGATCTCGGAGAACCTGTTTCAGCTGCATGGCAGAGCAGGCAGAGATGAAGAACAAGGCCCAGGTGTTACCAGAGTTTGTTCTGATAAGAAGATTTAAATTCCAAAACCACCAGGCAGAAAAGCCTTCCTTAAACCAGGATTATTTTCACAACGACACTTAAAACAAACCACTTTTTGTTCTAGCATTCAACCCAATCTAACAGCAGCTGACACTGCCAGCATGCAAACAAACACCCGAGGCTGGCTGGCAGCTCTGATGGTCGCTGAGTTCTCCAAAGATGAACCATTTAAGAAACTGGAGGTGAAGCTGAACTCCCCCTCACCAAGCCTTGCACAGCCCAATAAACCCCAAGGCACCGTTCCAACGCCAAAAGGATGAGGCATCCCCCACAAGAAATGAAGGTTTAAGGTGCTTACTAGAGGGAAAGCCACCCCCAAAGAACATGTTGAAGAGGTCCTCGGGGGAGATGTCGGCCTCGAAGCCGCGGTGGAAGTCGGCGTGGCTGTGCCCGTGGCGGGTGGGGTTGAGTTTCTCGTCTCCAAACTGGTCGTACTGCTTCCTCTTCTCCGGGTTGCTCAGCACGGCGTACGCGTTCCCGATGGCTGTGACATGGAAAACGAGGAAGCAATCAGCTCCTTTCTCCCACCTGCAGCCCCGCAAACTGCCAGGATTTGCCTTTCTCGTCCTACAAACCAAGAGCCTCAGCTTTGGTTTTATCACCAGGTACCTGGCACGCGTCTCAGGCAAATCCAGACAAGAGGAAACCACGCTCAGCAAAGAATTCCTTAATTAATTCAAATGAAGAAGTTATGATATGACCGATAAGGATTTGGTGCATGTCCTCAGAGAAACCCTTCAGCTGTAGGCAGCTGCGTAGGGAAATAAAATTTTAGTTGACAAATTTTATTCAAAAGTGGCATTAAGGGAATTGAATGTCAAAGTCTAAAACTAGAACTGCAAAGAATTTAAATACGGGCTAAATCCCTGAAAGAGACTTTAAAACTTTCCATAAAAGCTGCTAAGGAAACATTAGCCAGAAGTTGCATCCATCAGCTATGAGTTTCAGTACTTCCAGATGCCACATGCAAGGTGCATAATTACAAGGACTGTTAACCAGTGCCTGTGAGGCTGGAAATGTACTGGAACTAAACCCCTGCCAGGTCTCTGTGTCCCCCTCCTTCCAGCATCAGGAGTTTGAGCCCTTTCCCCAGAATGTCTGCCTGCCACCCTCCTATTTCTACACTCACCTCTCCACACATTCCAGCTTCCCACTGCCCTCTGTACCAACCCACCCCAGGCCTCCCTGCGTCACAAGGACCCAAAATGCCCATGGCAGTGGCTGCCTGGTGTCTAAAAGTCAGGGGTAGAAGGGATGGAAAAGTGAGAGAAGGGGGATAAGGTGCCCTTTTGGAGGAGATCAGCTCTAAGATTCAACGTTTTCCCCATGGAAAAATGGAGGTGTATGGTTTCTTCCTGGAGTGGAGATTTGGAGGGCAGAGGATGTAATGTCAATAAACTCCTTCTCCTTCTTGGTTATAATTAGTGCACCCAGAGCAAACATTTCTAGAGCCAGGCGGGGAAGCTAGTGGACAAGGACTGACTCAGAGTCTATCAACCACACAGCTGGAAAGAACAAGAGAAGCAAAAACAACAGAGCGGTTCAGGGTTTGTTCACTGACTTTGTGCTGACAAAGCCCAAGAAATGCCTCATTCCAAAGCAGGATTTTAGCTCCACGTAGCCAGGCTCAAGGCTTTTTCCAAGAGCAGACAGGTAGTGATGCAGATCTGCCACGAGACAGCCTGCAGCCAGCTGGAACTGTAAACTGAGACACGGGCTCAGCACAAGACGCAGCACCTTATCAGCCGTCACAGGGAAGGCGAATGCCAAGACTCCAGCTAATACATCAACATAAGGAAAAATTAACTCATATCCTCACAGCAGGGCACGTTTCTCCCTTCACCCTCTGGAACCACACAGGTGGACTTCAGCTCATCTCAGGGGCTGAAGGACAGGAAGCCATGGAGGCAAGGCCTGCAGGAGATAACCCGCAGTGGGGGATAAAGGGCACTTTGCTTAACGCTCCACTTCTGGCACGTAACTCCTGCCAAAGCCTTGGGCAAACATCATTATTCAAGATTACAGGTGAGGAAACCTGCCTTTGGCCACTGAGAGATCCAAGGATGAGCTGTGGAGCAGCAGCTCTGCACAGGCAGAGCTGATACCTGTGTGCAGATGTCCTTTCATCTGCCCCCCACACCAGCACAGGCCCTCCCAAGTAGCTGGGGGTCAGCCACTCTTTGCTAACACTTATCAGGGAAGGACTGAAGTCCTAAAAGGCTTGAACAAACCTTACCTAAGACTTTTACTGCTGAATTTGCGTCTGTGAGGAGCTCATCTCAATACTGTAACTCACACCAGGCCAGCCCTGCTCTCTGCTCCAGCAAAGGTCTCATGCACTTCACTCCCCAAATCAGGCAGCTTTGGGGTGGAAGGTGCCTTAAAGACCCTCTCATTCCACCTCCTGCCATAGACATTTCAATTTCCCAGGTTGCTCCACGTCCTGTCCAACCTGGCCTAGAAAACTTCCAGGGGATAGGGCAGCCACAGCTTCTCTGGGCAGCCTGTGCCAGGGCTTGAGTAAAGAATTTCTTTCTAAAAAGAGGCCAGAATCAGACTATTTAAATGGCTTCCAAACCAGTGCTGTATGACTGCAACCAAGGAGCTCTGTGTTTAGCTTAATGATAATAATCAAACTTCCACAGCTTGTAGGGGAAAATGGGATTATATGTTCCAAGCAATAGTATCTCTCTTGGAAAATCACTCCAATTTTAAGGTCTCTTATTACCCAGGAAGCATCCCTGCTGTATTTATAAAGAGGCTCTGAGAATTGGGCTCTTTGCAGCAGAACTAGAGCTCCTTTTCTGAGTTCTGGCTGGGCTCACTGGTATGGCTGCTGCAGTTTCACTCTAGAAACTTCCACTTGGGGTTTCCATCCACGAATGGTCGGGTCGTTCCTAGGATGTTTCTCCTGAAGGATTTGTGAAACCGTCTGGTGCTGCACAAGTTAACTGGGTTAATCCTGACAGAATTCCCTCCTGAGCAGCGAGGCAGGAGGTTGGAGCAACACACAGGGAAGGGTTGCTGGGAGAAGGAGAAGGAAGGCTTCTCCTTACCCAGCCAACAGAGGTGAATCCTACCCGTGCCAACCCGTGTTTATTTTGTTAAGCTCATACTTTGGTCATGACACGACCAGCTCTGAATGGAGGCAACTTCACAAAGAGCAGCTTTATTTCACTCTGCCTGACTCATGGGGTTGTTTTTGAGGGTTTTCACAAGCCCAGCTCAGTGAGAGTTGGGGGCAAACCACAAATCTGGAGCTGGCTTTACCTTTGAATGCCTCCGTGGCCCCCGGTGCGTGGTTCTTGTCCGGGTGGAACTTCAGGGCCAGTTTCCTGTAGGCCTTTTTCAGATCCTCATCAGAAGCTTCTCTGTTGACTCCCAGAATTTCATAGTAATCTTTGCACTGCTTTACCCTGCCAGGGGAGAGGGGAGCAAACAGGGACACTGAGTTCCAGGAGTGAAGACCTCCTTGTCTCGAATGCTTGTCAGCTGTGAGACATTCCAGGCAGCACAGTTTTGATGAATGTTGCTCAGGGATCTCTGGATTACTCAGCCCCTGCTCCTCAGAGGGTGACCCAGTTGTTTTCACCAACTCACTCTGGCTGTGCTGGCAGGACCAGCACAGAACAAGTCGGGCCAGTGGAGGTGGAAGGGCCTCTCCTCAGACCCACACAGGAATGTGATTGGCAAATAAACTTCACATTCATCACGTTCACGTGTTGGAGGCTGTTTGGGAAGGACTACAGCACCTGAAGGATATTGGCCTTTCCCCCCCCCATCACTCTCTCCTCAGCTAATTCCCAGATCTAAAACTTGCATCAGCTGAATTCCAGAGAAGGAAGGAGGGAGCAGCCCAGAGTGTGCAGCCCGGTTCTTCCTGGGCATACTCAGCCCAGGCGAGGCTTCTGCTCATCACATGATGAGACAGAATCCAGCATGCTGGGTTTTTGGAGAAGTGGATGACATAACAAACGTTTCTGCCAGCTCCTTGGAGAGGTTCTTGCACAATTCAGGCCATGCCCATAACCTTAAACAAAGTTTACCAAGTGACTGCACCTGCAGTTCAGTCCTTCAGCTTCCAGGATGGGCAAATGGGAGAAAGGAATAAAGGGAAGCTTGAAACAGGGTTTGGAAAATGAGCAGACCCAACCCAGCTGCCTACCAGGGCTGCTGGAGCTATAAATCCCCCTGGGCATGTTCTTAACACTATTCCATATGGTTCAAAGCTGAAATCTTTAAAATACTATGAAAAGCACACGGGTACCATGGGATAAAGTCAAACAAATGCCCCTGAGAGCTGTGCACAAACCTCTTCACTGCATCCAGCTGGTCCTGAGTGTAGCCCTTGGGGGCCTCCCCCCCAGCTTCTCCGTTGGCTGATGGGAAGTCTCCACTCATTTTCCTGAACTGAGGGTTTGTGGACTCCTTGGATTGGGACTGGCCATTGGCCGGCTGCTCGTTCTTGTTGAGTGATTCAAGCAGAACTGAAACGAGAGAAAAAAACACATAGAGAAGAAAGCACCAAGCTCAACCTGCCTTTCCAGCTCTCCCATGAAGAGACTCCTCTTCATCTCTGCCACCTTCCCAAGACCCTCTCATCCTTCCCCATGAAGACCCTCGCCTTTCCTCCCATGCAATCTTTCAGCTCCTGCTGCTTCTCACCCAGGTGTGAGGGCTACTCCTGAAGATATTCTGCTTCTCCCAACACACACAACCTCCATAAAGACCCCAGGACCACCCAGGCAGACAGCCCAGGAGCCACAGCAGATCAGCAAAGCAATGCACCCCTGTCCTTTTTTCCTTTCCATCTCTCCTTGACAGCTAAGCATGTCCAAATTTGTCCTCTAGCACGTTCTAAAGTGTATTACTCTTCTTTATCTCCTGCCTTTGAGAGCCTACAGTGCTGGGGAAGCGATGTGACAATTCCATATCCTTAGAGAGCTCAGAAAATAACTCTGTGGGCTGCCAATCCCACGGGGACACTCCCCTTTCGGGGACAGAGCTGCAGCACTGCTGGCTGCCAGCTCTTCACACGAGTCACACGGGCGCTTTGTTCTCCAGCCGCTACCTACGGATCCGGAGCAGCTGTGAAATCATCTTCCCTCTCAGTTACTGCTGGGTATAAATCCACCTTCCCTTTTCTTTTCCTCCTTGCAAGGCTCAGGCACTGTCTTCCACCCTCTCCAGCCAAGAAGGGACAAACATCCAGGCCTGGCCTAACCACCCAGGTGAAATAATGGAGGGAGGCTCCAAGCATCTTTCCATCATGCATTTCCCTGGAAGCTACATGGCACCTTTTAAAACTGCTTTTTAAACCAAGCATCAGACTGATTTCTTCATCCCCATTAAAAAGAACAGCCACACATGCTACAGTGAAACCCAGCCAAAGATATTTACACAGGCCCCAGTATCCTGAGCCTGCAGTCCTTCATCCAGACCCTAGAACTGGGAAGGACGTTCCACCTCCTCCCATGGATTGCACACCACAGACCTTGCACTATGGGGGTTATCACCTTCTTTAGGCGAGTGCAAACAACACTTGCAGGCCAAGAGATGAGCCAAGATATCCTATCTGGCCCCAGCACTTGGAGGGGGCAGAAAAATCCACTTGCTAATCCAAAAGCCAATACAGGATGAGGGATGAAAAGGACAGTGGGCTAAGGAGCAGTAACTCACTGGATGAACTTTTGGGGCTTGGGGGCTTCACGAATTCAAAAATAATTCATTCTAAGAAAATAAATTTTTCCCTCCCTCATATTCCCAATGTTTCAGTGTTCACTGAATTACAGTCTTCGATTTTGCTCGTTCCAAACCTGGAGTGATCTGCCAGGTGATTTCAAATTTCACCTCACGAGGCTGTTCCCCCACCTACCCCCCTTCCTGCTGCTTTGGGCTTAGTTCCCTACAGTGTACCAGGAGATTTTGATCCCAGATTGGTTTGGGTTGGAAGAGATCTCAAAGCCCATCCAGCTTCATCCCCTGCCATGAGCAGGGATACCTTCCACTATCCCAGGCTGCTCCAAGCCCCATCCAACCTGGCCTTGGACACTTCCAGGGATCCAGGGGCAGCCACAGCTTCTCTGGGCACTCTGTGCCAGGGCCTCTCCACCCTTCCAGGGAACAATTCCTTCCCAATATCCCATCTAACCCTGTCCTTTGGCAGTGGGAAGCCATTCCCTTTGTCCTGCCACTCCAGTTCCTGATGAAATCCCTCTCAAAGTTTCTTGTAGCCTCTTCAGATCCTAGAAGGGGCTGTGAGGTCTCCACACAACCTTCTTTTCTCCAGGTTGAGCAGCCCCAGCTCTCCCAGCCTGGCTCCAGAGGGAAGGTGCTCCAGTCCCCTCAGCAACTTGGTGGCCTCCTCTGGGCTCTCTCCAGCAGCTCCAGGCCCCTCCTGTGCTGGGCCAGCTCTGCAGGTAGGATCTCACCTGAGCACAGAGGCAGAGGGGCAGAATCTCCCACCTCCCCTGCTGCCCAAAGTGCATTTCCCAAATCCAACCACAGAAATCCACAGGTCAGTCCCATTTTTTTCTACTGCCCCAAACCTGTCCCTTTTTGCATCCTCCATGCAGCCCCAGCACAGCAGGAATTCAGGACTTCCTGGAGCAGAGAGTGCAGAATTAAGTTTCAGTTCTGCCAACTCAGTTCCTCCCCAGCATGTGCCATGGAGCACTTTTCCTCCCTTATTAGCCAACATCTGCCCAACTTCTTATACATTTTCCCCAACTCCCACTTAAAGGTGACCAGTGTGTGACTGTGCCTCTGCCAACGTGCCCTGACACATGAGATTTTTGCTGCAACTCCCTTGCAAAACCCTTCCCTGATCCCGAAAAGCCCAGCCAGGGTCAGAGTTTGCAGCATCGCCTGCGCAAGGGCCACGTCGCTGAGTGTTGCCAAACCCCGAGTAACTCCTGGGAAAGAGATTTCCCAGGAGCTCCTCAGAGACTCAGTGACCACCGTGGGATCTCTGGCAGCATTTCTCAACTCCAGATCCAGCAGGACATCGAGCAAAGGGTCCTTGCATGAGAAACTTGCCACAAATTAGCACGTTGTGTTTAACATTAACCCGCCCTGCTGCCCCCCCGGCCTCTGCTTTCTTCCAAACGTCACTTTTTCTACCCAGCAATTTCACCAAAGTATAAATTCTGGAGGAAAGGGAGGAGAGGAAAACCACACCACACCCACTTTGAGGCAGCGGGAAGAGGCCTGGTGCAACCAAAAAGAGGATTACAGGAAGCCTTGGGACAAACAAGCTGCAAAGCTCAGCCAAAGAATCCAAACTCAGATGAGGTGAAAACAAACAAAACAAACAAAAAAATTAAATCTACAGCCCTTTGCATAATATTCCGCAATGTAAGAACATGCAGGGAAAGAACTGTGTTTGGCTGCTTTCACAAACCACTTCCCATATGAATTAAAGCTTTCAGGAAATTATGAAAACGAACATAAATCTGGCAGAAAGTCTTCGAGGAGGATTATTTTGTTACGCATGTGAGAGTGTGAGCTCAGCCACGGCCTGGCTGTCTGCAAGCAGTGGGCAACTGCTGGAGGAGGAACAGGAGAGGGAGAGGAGGAATACGATGAGAACAGGAGGAACAGGAAGAGGAGAGGAGGAGGAATGGGAGGAGGAAAGGAGAACGGATGAGGAGAAGAGGACGAATAAGAGGAAGAGATGAGGAGAATTAGGAGGAGAAGGAATACGAGGGGGAATGCAGGAACAGGGAGGAGAGGAATAGGAGAGGGAGGGGAGGAATGGGAGGAGGAGAGGAACAGGAATAAGAGGAGGAGAAAAACAGGAAGAGGAGAGGAACGGGAGGAGGAGGAAAGGAACAGAAGGAGAGACAGAAACAGGAGGAAAGGATTAGGAGAGGAAGAGGAGGAATAGGAAAACCGGAATATAAGGAGGAGAAGAAGAAGAGAAATAGGAGAAGGAGTGCAATAGGAAAAGGAGAAGAGAAATAGGAAAGGAGGAGAAGGGCTTTTCGCAGCCCCCCGAGAACTTCTCACACGCCTTGCCAAGCTCCTTCCCTCCCCTCAGCGCTGCTCCACCAGCAGCGCGTGTTGTGTCTGCGGCTCAGGGGTCCCACAGCAGCGCGGAGCCGGTCCCCCTTCCCTTCCCAGCCCCTTCCTCACTGGGGGCCCCCGCTAGGAACAGAGCCGGCGGTACCCGGTCCCAGCTCATCGGTACCCGGCCTCAGGAGAGACCCAGTCCCAGCCGGTACCGCAATCCGAGACCCCAGGACACCCCCGGGACTCCAGAGGAACTCGCTTTCCCGGCGTGCCCCGCGCGCAATGCGCAGGCGCGGTGAGGGTGAGAGGTCAGGCCCGGCGGCGGCCGCGCAGGCCGCGCTCCCCCGGGCCTCCCGCCGCGCCCCCGGCCCGGCGCTCACCGCGGACCCGCTGCGAGGGGTACAAGCGCTGCGCCTTCTCCAGGAAGCGGCGGGCCTTGTCGGGCTGGTTGGCCTTGGCGGCGGCCAGCGCAATACTAATGCACCGCTCCGCCTCGTCCCGGTTCGACTCCATGGCGGCGGCGGCCGGGCGGGGGGGCGGAGAGGCGGGGCCGGGCGCGGATCGATGACGTCACAGAGCCCTGCCCTCAACCGGGCGGGGCCGGAGGAGGATTTTTGGGGAACCGAGAAGGCGCAGGGAGGGAGCGGGATTTTATGGGGAGAGACAGGGATTCCCCGGGGAGGCGAGCCTTGGGTGGCCTCAGCCGGCACCCCAACAGGGGGAGGGGTTGGCAAAGGGCACCCCCAGATCCTGTTCTCGCAGGGGATTCGGAAGGGAAGGATTAACCCTTAAGGGAATTCTCTCCCATTAGAGTCCTCCTCCTCATCGAGTTTCCTGCCTTTGGAACAGGTCCTGGCTGCGGGGACTGTGCCAGGGCCGGGTAGAAGGAGACGCTGAAGAGGGATGAGGCTGCTCGGGGCTGTTTCACATTGTTTCGCATTCAGTCGCACCAGGGATGGCGGTAACAACCTTTATTCCAAAGGAGAGAATTCAGAGACGGGTGACACATCCCTGGAGGCTGGCCGTGGGGAACAGGCAGGAGGGAGGGAAGAACAGCTGCAGGCAGGAAGGGCCAAAGCCGCACTCCCACCTTGGTCTGTGGGGTGTGACGTGTGTGCCAGCACAGGGACCCACACCCAAACCACCCCAAAGGAGCAGGCTCTGGCTGGGAAATGAGGGAGCAGAGGAACATCACTGTAGCTGCACTGATCAGGATGAATATCCCTGTATGAACCACGGAATTCCAAAATGGTTTGGATGGGAAGAGACCTTCCACTATCCCAGGTTGCTCCAAGCCCCATCCAACCTGGCCTTGGACACTTCCAGGGATCCAGGGGAGCCACAGCTTCTCTGGGCACCCTGTGCCAGGGCCTCCCTACCATCACAGGGAAGGATTTCTTCCTAATATCTCATCTAACCCTGCCCTCTGGCAGTAAGAAACTATTTCCCCTTGTCCTGGCACTTGAGGCTCTTGTCAATATTCCCTCTCCATGTTTCTTGTCATCTCCTTCAGGCACTGGAAGGCCACAATGAGGTCACCCTGGAGTTTCTCTCCAGGCTGAACAATCCTAGCTGTCCTAGCCTTTCCTCACGGCATAGCTGCTCCATCCCTCTGATCATCTTGGTGGCTTTCTCTGGGCTCTCTCCAGCAGTTCCATGTCCTTCCTGTGCTGGGAAAGGAAAGTATTCCAGGAGTGATTTATCCCCTTTGTCTTTCCAGCTCTGGAAAGTCACGGGGTTCCTTCCCTACCCCCTTCCAAAACACCCCATCTTCAGTGCCTCAGCCCAGCCTTGGGGGAGGATGTGGAGCAATGCAGAGACAGAGCCAGGCTGCTGTGAGCAACATCTTTACATGGTATTTTACAGAGGACAGCAAACAAAGCCTGTCAGCCCCTTCCCAGTACAATTCCCCACGGAGAGGGCTCTCCATTTAGGAAATCAATTAGGGAGCTCCTGCAGCAGGATGCTTGTGCAAGGCAGGAAGGGCAGGAGAGCCAGTTGCCCCACTTTTAGCTGCCTTTCTGCAGCAGGTGCAGCACAGAGCTTTTGGCTGGCTGAAATCCTGGTCTGGGATTCAGGAAATCCAGGAATTGCCTGGCTTTTCTGAGGAGCAGTCTGAGAATCAAAATAACCTCCATGCCATTTTTTCATAACATTAAATAAAGGTGATTTGGGGTCCAGCTCTGGAGCAGGGCACATCACGCCGTGGAGGTGGTGGCAGTAAAAGTCCTTTCCCTGTTCCTGAGAGAGAGGAATATTAAGGAGCCAGCAGCAGGCAAATACAGGCGTGAATTTCTAACTTGGACTGACAAACCCCTCCTGTTTCAGCCAGCCTGGGCTCTTCAGAGCCTGGTGCCACCCTGCTGTGCCAGGGCTGATCCAGGGAATGGGGGGGACTTCTTCCCAGCTACTACTGCTGCTTGGGAGCTGTGAAGTCCCACGCTGTCTCCTGGGCACACTTCCACATGGCCCTCATGAGCCGTGTGAATCCCATGTCCTTGGGCTTCTCCAGGCCTCGCATCAGGCGCTGCTTCATGATGGCAACAAACTCCTTGTTGCTCAGCTCCCCGTTCCCTGCAACAAAGAGGAAAAATAATCACAGACCCACCACCAACCTCCTTGAAATGATCATTTTAAAGGGCAGCAGCCATGAGTGTCCTTTGCTGCAGAAACTGAGACCACATTTGGCTCCCACCTCCCAAAATATCCTTCTGAGCGAAGGTTCCCGAGCCACAGAGTTTAAATCTCAACCCTATGGATGCTTGTAGGAAGCAGAAAAGCAAATGCAAACCAAATGTCTGTGTCCTCCCAGGAAACACTGCTTTAAGTGATTTAGGAAATAATGGGTGCACAAATTTTTCTAATGGAATAGAAGGAAAGATTTGTTGAGCTGATGAATGAGGTTATGCAGAGTGCAGCCACTGGGCAGCAACATTCCAGCAAACTATCAGCAAATTTCCCCCCAGTACTGCAGGTTTTTAATGTCTGTAAACACTGATGGAGTGAAAACAACAAAATAATAGTAATAAAAAGAGGTCTGTGCCTGCTTTTCTACTTGGTTTCTTCCCTGGGGGACTCCTCTGGCAACCAGAGTCTTTCCCCCCAAAGATTTCCTATCAAAATATTTAAGAGATTCTCCTCTGAGGGAAGGCAAACGGAATATTTGGATACACTTCAGCTCACTCTAATCTCCAGCCTGATCATCTGGCGTGAAGATTGTATTAGAACAGTGGTACTGAAGCACAGAGGAAAATAAAACAGGAGATGTGACCTTAGAAAGGCACAAAGGAGCAGGTGGGGCTGAAACCAAGAGGGACAACAAGGAATAAAACAATTAAATACATTTTTTAATGTTCATACTTATGCACCAGTGCTGCCACTTGGAGCTGCCAGATGCTGGTGACTGTGCTGGAGAAGCAGGGTGCCAGCCAGGACTCTGATTTTGGTTTGGCAGGTTTGGGCAAATGCAGAATTTCTTTCTTTCCAAGTTGGAGTTGCTGTCACCTGGCAAAGACTCCAGTAACTCCCGTTAAATCAAGCCAGGAGTGCTTCAGTGTGGCAACAACTACGCCAGGGCACTCATATCCTCTGCAAAGCCACCAGCTTCCCAGCAGGGCACAGAGCTGCTATTAATTAAAATTAAGCTGACATTTGTCTAGGACTATGGAGATAAAGCCCCAGACTGGCTCGTTTCCAACATTGGAGCACAAGAGTTCATTTTGTTAAACAAACTGGAGTTCTGTGGGGGGGAAAAAAGGAGCAAAGTCACACACCAAACCCTCCCATCCGTGCTCCCAGATCCATATCTCACAGGGTGGGAACCCTCGGATACCCTTCCCAAAAGGGCAGGGGGATCACCACAGATCCATGAACAAAGAGTGTTGCCTGGAAAGGCTGAGCTGGAACTGAGATTAGACAGAGCAAAAGGAATAAAATTGGTATTTATTGAAAGGATCCACCTTGGGCAGTGCAAGAGCCTGGCCGGGGCTACACCCAAATCAAATCCAAGCTGGATCCCGGTCATGAGTTTTTACACTTTTCTAAGTTTTGGTTCATCTCCATATTGGGGTCAATTATCCAACCACAGCCCCAGGCTATGGAGTCTCAGCCTGCTGGCTTATCCCCTTTCCCTCACCATTGTTTCTGCTTTTTGGGTATCAGTTAGAGATCGAGGTATTAGCTAGAAAAATAATTGTTTTGTCTAACTACCCTGTGAAGAGAACTTACTAACACCTAATATGAAATTTCAGAGATCCTGAAAAATATAAAAGCTAATATAAGCTAAAACCCAAGGCATCAAGAGCCTGGCAAGAAGAGCCCTTTTCCCCTGGATTTCTTGCCCCGGGTTGACTCTCTCCCAGCCTGGCTGAGGCTGGGGCACTCACTCACCGTCGCAGTCGAAGAGCGCGAACACCACGTCACACACGTGGTCTGAGAGCTCCACTTTGGCCACTGTCCTGGCCACTTGCTGCATGGTCACTGCAACAGAGGGAGGGCACAGGGTCACACGGGGCTCAGGATGTGCCAGCTGCAGCAGGAGACTCCTGCTCCTCTGTGGAAAATGGCCTTTGTGTCTTCAGAGAGGCCTGGAATAAGCTTGATCAACAAGGCAGCTCCTTCTGCTCCTTCCAAGGATGATACTCAATCAAGCAACTATCCCAGCAGGCTGGGAATTCCAAAAACTGCTTTTCCTGTTGCAACCCAGTAATTGCAGAATGAACCCACCCACCCTCATGCAGGGAGCAGACCAGATTAACCTTGCAATAAAATAAGAGTTTTAAGGAATTATTTCTCTTTTCTCTGACAGCAGAGAAGCAAGCAGGAGTTTTATGCCCACCTTTAGAAAAGGGCAATCCATAGAGCTATCAATCTGGCAGGGTTAGGCAGCTGATTTTGCTGCACAAATGGGAAGAAAAAAGCCCCCTCATTAGGCTGGTGTGAAGGTATTTAAAGTTAAATTGCTTCCCTACAAAGCCTGACCCAAGAAAATGCCATCCACAGCAACTGGATCAATGTTTAGCTGTGGAGCAAGGGAAAAGAGGGATGTGGTGCATCACAAAAAGGCTGAAACCACGAACAGCCTCTGCTTTCCTCCACAGCATCCTTATGGGTTTCTGCACCACTAGTCCTTCAGGAATTTTGGAGAGTTAAGTGTGCCAGAAAGGAAAAAATAATAATCCAATATATACCGTAACTGGATTAATTACAAACTGCATAAAATATTTCTATGGGGATTTTTTTTTCATTAATGTTCACATTATTGGTTCCTTCCACCCCGTTTCTGTTCCCCTCAGTGAAATCTGGGGTTTTCTGAGAGGAATTCACAGCCACCATCAGGTCCTTTTCCCCAAAACCCCTCTCCTTTTACTAAATAACGCAGGAGAAAATTGAAATGACACATTGTATCTATGTGAAATATATATAACCTACAGCAGGACCCTGGATTTTTAAAAATTATTCTTTTTGAGTGAAATTTCTGTTCTCCATGAGTGATGTAGCTCCAGTCAGCAGTTATTACTATGCATTTC